GAGGATGCCATTCCTTCATCATTGTCGCTCTTCGTGAGGGAGTCGAAACGACGCGAGTTCAGAGGTTCATCCGAGTTCACGGACATAAATTCAGTGTTGTAAAGCCCACCGCAAAGTCTGATCAGTATACCATCTTTTCTTGCTTAAAATCACTAACCTCAGACTGATTTATTTTCTAACTTTAATTCAACTGAGTCCTCGCCTCTTCCTAAGGCTAGAATTAGCGATACAGAAGAGGAATTGAAGTTACAATTAAAGTTATCCAACATTGATGAAATTGACTGTTAGCCGCTCACGTAACTGACATTTCTCTGCTCTTATCTCACGATTACTATTACTATATAAATGAATTTCTTGATTATATTTTCTCTCCTTCTCTTCCCGTTAATTATCGATTAACTGGTTTTCATCTGATAGAATACACGACAAATAATTTAGTTGAATGCATTTTCGTGCATTTTGTTCCACGAGATGGTTCAAATTTTATTAAAGCTGATCGTGCAACGTTTTCACTGCTCTTGTATGCATATGCAAAGGTAGTTTTTAGTATGCGAATGACACGATGTTGTGTACAACAGCGCACGATGTCGCATAAATCATACGTAAATAGAAACGAAAAGAGGCAAAATAGAAAGCGAATGGTCGACGTCGCGTGCAACCATCATTGTAACACAACGGTACCTGGCTTATAAGGCGCGTGAATTCACGGCGCTCATTCGCATTCTAGTTTCCGAAATGGAATATCAACGCGATCGAATGCATATGCGACAGCATGCTTTTACATATGCGAGTTCATTTCTGTTACACGTGTTCGCAGCAAGAAGATTCGCGCCATTGCGAAGAACTTCCATCGTCAATAATCTATCCACCCACACGTTATATTCAAGGACTCCTCCAGTCGATTACGTCTGATTCGAATATTAAATTGCGAGATGGTATTCAATTGCTGGATAGAGACGTTTGTAAATTATAATAATAGAAATACTATCTGAATAATACATACTTGTAGTATTGTTTATTATATTTTCTGCCATCATTATTAAAATTTTATGCTGCTATTTCATACTACGTTGTAATAAACTATTCACGGAAAACAAAAATTAACTATTGTAGCTCACTTTTAGCTACCGCTATATTACACATGAAATTTAGTGTCTAAAACTTATCATGCCTAAATTTTAGCTAATATAATAGCTAATATTTTAGCTATAGAATTCTCCGTTAAACTCTACCTAAAAATATTAGTAACCATAGCTAAATATGATAACTAATAGTTTTATAGTTTAACGGAGAATTCTATAGCTAAAAAAAATTAGCTATCATTGCTAAAATTTAAGCATGATAACTAAATCAAGGTCTTAATATAGGGACGGCTAAAATTTATCTATAGTGGCTAATTTTTTTCTGTGTATGATAGCACAGTACGCATGCAGAGAAATTATTAATTATTAAATATTTTTACAATATTTTAAATGCATAATTTTTTATGTTGTCAAATCGATCATTTAAATCTCTTTTTGTTTCGAAAGCAGTTTAAAATTGAAAATCTCTACAGTACTAGAGTCGATCGAAGCTTTAGCACCCACCGTGTGTCGAGATCGATGCTGCACGGCGCGTGATCGGAGCCGCTTTGCGGATACAAATAAACATCTCGTGCGATCCAGGTGCACGCTTCCCTTTTAAGATCTGAGATCTTGAACTAGCTCTCCTACATACATGCCAGCCATCATGGCATGCGATTGCCGCTACCGTACACTATATTAATATTATCTTCCCAGAAAACCTCTCTCAATTTTTAATCGTTTTGCATAAAAAGACAAATAAAAAACGATAAAAATTATATAAGTTATAATTATAAAAAAAATATTATTCTGCTCTTATAAAGATCCTATATAAAGATGCAAGATACAATCAATAAAAATATGTTGAATCGATACAAATTTGTAAATGAAAAATAAAAAACCATACCTGCTTTGTGCTGAAATTTTCTGCGATGCTCATGAAAAATTTTTAAAACGTGAAAATTCAAAAAATACAGAAATAGACAAATTTCTATTAACTTGAAAAAAATCTCAATAATTACTTTGCAAAATCTAAAGCATGATTTTACAGAATCATCACACATGCCGCTTTAACGCGAGCTATATAATCGAAAGTTATAACTTGTAAATGAATAAGATATAAAGTTATAAATATACAAGCCTATATCTTATAAAACTGAAACTTTCTCGATGATTATTCGACACGATCTCGCTCTCTGAATTCTGCAGATCTCCGATGCTATAGATCTTTGTGAAATGTCGAATAAGTGCGTAAAGCATAACAAAGTAAGCAGCGATGGGGAGGCTGCGATGGGACGGTGACTCCCTCGAATGCAGTTCCTGGTGACGTCTGACTAAGAGTTCTATTTTGACGCACTCTCGGAGGCCGCATGACTAATCCACCGCGCGCATACATCAACGCAGGTGGAACTCATCCGAGAATGTCGCGTTTCGAGATTTAGATTAGTAGGCGAGCGAGAATTTCAGGCGTTATTACGACGCGTCTCGTGCTCGTATAAATTCCGTATACGATTATTATTACTTTGTAATAATTCCACTGTCAGTTCTACGCGTGATTCAAACTTTCAACTGCGAATGCACACGTAATGTATGTATGCGTCAAGATTTGAAAACTTTGAAGCAAGAGAAATAAACTTTTTAATTAGCAATCGAGATTAAATCTCAATTCTTTAATCATTTATAACGTTGTTTTATTATGTTAATTAAAAGTTAAATTCCTATTTAAAAAATCTGCGATCAAAAACTGATAATAACAATTAAAGCTATATATTAAGTTAGCACCGGTCTTTTTAAAAATTAATTATGTAATACGAAAATGATAGCATTTCGTTTGCAGTTATTTGTATTAACAATCATTTCGTTTGCAGTTTCATCAATTAAAAAATAAAAAGAACCTAAAATGACCAGCATCTAACTTTAAGATATCTCAAATCTGTTTGTGCAATCTGTTTTAGAATATTTTCTAATTTGTTTATATTTTGCAGTAATTTTTGTTTCGTTTGTAGTTGCACAGTTTAGAAATTGCAATAGTTTAAACTTTAAACTGATCAAGAGTGAACTTTGTCAATTTTAAAGATTTTTCAAATCTGCTTTTTCCAGATAATTCAGACTTGTTTATAGTTGTTTGTGTTAATATAAATTTCGATTACAATTGCTATAAGCATAAACTACCAACGAGTCTGAATAAATAGATTTGAAAAATCATCAAAATTGTTAAAGTTTACTCTTGATCATTTGTTTACACAATTATAATTTGTAAACTATACAACTACGAACGAAAGCAAAATCAGAACAATTAAAAATGATTCTAAAAAGACTGCGCACGCGAATGTGTGATATTTCATTTCGGGTGCGAGTCATTTTGAAAATTTTATTTTGTAATTGATGAAACTGCAAACAAAATTATTGTTACTACAAAAAAACTACAAACAAAATGCTATTTTTCTTATTAAAAAATTAATTTTTAAGAAGTCGGATGCTAAATTCACCGATAATTAACATTATTTAATATATTTTCTTTTCTCTTTCTTTCCATTGAATTGATCTATCTTTATTAATACCTAAAAAATGTTTGTGTATCTCACATTCTTAGATTATAAAAAAATTAATAAATCGAAACATATATAAATCATGCGTATGTAGTTTCTTCTTCTCGACGAGGATTTATTTCAAGTCGAGATAACACAAAGTGCTATTATATAATCGATACGTGATAAGAAATGCAATAAATGTTTCAGGAATCAAAATTAATAAAGATCAAACCAGTCGTGATACTTACGTGATTTTTCGACACTTTCTACCATAGGTTACTGATAGATTTTCTAACGAAAAACGATATAAGGTCATCCTTTCTATATTCCATGAATAAATAGATTTCGCGGCGCTTGTCGAGAATCAGGAATGTATTTACAGTATCACTTTCGTCGAACAACGCGACAAGAATAGGAATAAACCGAATCGTGCGGAAGTCAGTGAAGATCACTTTCGTTGACTTTCTTCTTCCCGATCAAAATTTTCGCGGTCCCGCGATCACGCGGATTGTCGTCTCTTAATCGCGAATCGGTAGAAAGTTCAGTTTCGAAAACACGACGGATGTCTACACCAATTATTATGCGGACAGCGTAAAACGCGTCCGCTACAAACCGGAGTTCATAATAGTCTCTTTTTTTACCCGAAATCAAAATGCGAGAGGCATGCAACGAGTGTAAATGCTCGGAATGTCAAATGCATTCGATACATATTGGAATTGAGACCTGCAATCGACCAGTAATAGTCGATCGGTGAACGTAATTCAATAAAGAGAAATATTTATTATTAAAAGATAAAAAAATTACCAGAATATGATTCAGCAGATTTTAACATAAAATGTTCCTTCGTAAGATGTTAATATATAAACGCTACATCATTCTCTATCATTCCAGTGAATAATAGCCAAAATATGCATTAAACGCTTATCATATCTCATATCGTTAATTTAATCAGTTTAACAATAGACCTTTAAAACTCCTTCATCGATATCTGCGACCATTATCATAAATTGTGTTCTATGCAATTTAAAGTTCTCTATTATAAAAGAAATAATGTTTGGTCAGATTTTATCTCGTCGATTAGCATTACCTAACTGATTCGCTGTTCAAACGATCTCGATATATGTCGAAAAAAATTTTTTAACCGCAGTGATAAATAACATTCTTTCTTTAATAACTATAAATTCTCAATTTAAAAAATTGTATTTTGGAATCAGATATAATTCTGAATTATGAAGAATCGAATAATGAAAATTTATAAGATAATAAATATCTTATTCGATGTAACACACATACACGAAAGGAACAACTTTTATTATTTATTGTCAGTCTAATAGAAGACTGAAATTGTTGCCATTTAAATTTTGAAGCAACGTTCAATTATTCCACTTTAAAAAAGCATGCAACTTACCTTATATAATGGATGGATCGAATTTTGATCAATTCTCTACGCAGTCATGTTCGTCCGAAGGCGGTAAAATGAGCCTTGCTCTTGGCGTTTCTCATTTCCAGGCTGGCGAGAAGAAAGGATCGTGCGTGTCGCGCATCTAGGGAAGGACAAGAGCCTGGATCTGAAACAAAGGATCCGGATGAGAGATGCGAAGAAAGAGAACGAGAAAGAAGAAAAGAGAGAAGAAGAATGCGGCATCTTCCTGGTCATAATTTAAAGCCCACTCGTATAGCCCGGGCGTACGTCAGTAAGAATTTGGCGTTGCCAATCGATTATTTTGTTACGATTCACATATATAACATTTATAATTAATCAATTACGAGAACCCACGTTGATTCAATCTTGTGAAATATTTTTTCATACACTGAAGGATCATTTTTCAATCGAAACAGATAGTCAATATGTACATACAAATTTTAATAATAATATTTAAAATTGACAATTCTAACTATTAATATATATAGGTATATATAAAATTAGCGGAATAATAATCATTGTATGCACTGAAGAAAACAATTTGTTAACTTTGCAAGACCTTGCTAAATTACTGTTTTTTAATTGAACACATATTAGTATTTAAGTCAAATATACGTTTTGTTAGATTTAATATATTATATTTAATTTAAACATTCTATATATGTTCAATTAACAAAATAATATTTCATTGAAAGGTTTAGTCAATTTGACAAATTTTTTCCAGTGTATAAAGTATATAATATTCTATATAATTATAACATTATATGTATATAAATATATTATAATGTATGTTATATAAATTGTATTATAATATATGCTGTGGAATGTATATAAAATAAGTGAAATAAACGTCAATTAATCATATACATATATTTGATATTTATTTCGCTCATTTTAATACATTTTTTACATGTTCCAACAGTATAGCAAAATTCTATAAATATGACAAAAAAGTAATAATACTAAATTTGTTTACAGCACCATGATTGCGATAATAGTAAAATATGCATTTATCGATTGTATCGAACTCGAACGTAATACGAAAGCTTAACCTCTCGTGTTCGCCCTTCATCTTTCTTGATACCATCTTTGCCTACCTATAGATTGTACATAAATGAAGGTATCGTACCGTATATTTTCGTGCGCTGAAAGACTACCGTGAGGAGAAGATCCTCGACAAAAGCTTGAGATTCTCGTGGCGGGAAACCGCGCCACGGAGATTACGCGATTCGCTTCTACTTTTCTTCGCGGTCAATAATGGACGTCTACTACCGTCCACCGGCTTCGTCCGCAGCTTCATTTAGCGAAGAACAGAGAGTGACGAATTGTCGCGGAGTTAACGAGCGCGAGGTCGAGGAAGAGACGGAGGTATGTAACAGCCCCGGAGAGTATACCAGAAGAAGCCTCTCTCTCTCTCGGTTCTCGGCGTTCGGCCTCGACCCGCGCAAAGTTCGTTCGAGGTTGCCCGCGTCCGAGTCGCGGCGGAAACGGTCGAGGCGAGCCGATGAGCAAGGCCCGCCGAGCGAGCACGAGCGGGCACGGAAACGACCGAGCGCACGGTCGCGTAGCAAACAAGCCAGCCTACCGGATCAGTTCCTCACGGTGAACCGGCCTGAGCGCTGCGTCTTGGCCGTCTTTCTTCGCGTCCCTTTCTCTCTCTCTCTCTCTCTCCTTTCTCTCTCGCGCGCGAGTACTCCTCGGATTTCATGCTCTAACGCAACGTTCGAGCGATAGCAGTGAAATACCTTCTCTCTTCCATGTGGTAGAGATATCCGTACACGGCTCATGTACCGCGGATTCAAGTGCGATCGATAAGTTGGTTTTGACAAGCGCACGGACCTCGGGTGAGTCTGCGGAGCCACCCGCCATAGCTCTTCTTCGTCTCCAGCATCTTCTCTTGTGCGAGGATCGGTGTCTCCTGTCTCTCTCTCACTCTCTCTGTGGATATTTTACTCGACGCGTGCCGCAGGAAAAGCATCTCTCGCAAGGTAAGAGACGCCGAGATAAGATGGGTTCGCGACGATGCTTCGTGGAAATCGCACGCGAGAATTTAGAAAGGCGTACGATAACAAGCGAGCGAGCAAACGAACGAACATTTCTGCGCCCGGGAAAGAGATCGTAAACCCGAGAGATCGCATTTCTTGACTTAGCAAGCCGCTACCGCTACTGTCTGACCCAAATCCATTTTTAATTCACGACGCGTCGTCGCGAATTCCGTACTACGGTGTATCCGTGTGAAGTCACACGATCCTGCGCGATAATGGAATGCGTTTGTTTTTTCGAAATAAGGATGTCTACGTTGGACGTGCAAGATGTCATAATGAAAGATATCGAAAATAGTTTCATTGCAAACAGTTTCGATTACAGTGAATCAGTCGTAATTTAAAAGAACGCATTTTATAGCGAACTGATTGCATAATTGATATCGTCATGTGAGGTGAACAAGATATTTTTGTAAGTGAAATCATAATTTCTAGAATATATTTGAAGGAAAAATGATGCGGTGTATAGTAGATTCAACAAAGATAATGAGTAACTCGAAAGAGCGTTTTTTTGACGAATTATACAAAGGTATGCAAATAGGAATTGAGAAATGAGCCGCTCAATTTTAAGGCCTGATATAACGAAATCGCTCTTATTGTTAGTTGCGTCAACTCAATTCTAGTTATATCAAGTTAAGCAAGTCTGGCTTATTCGAAATTCCTTTTAAAATTATTATTATTATATTTAGAAAGATTCGTGTAACAGAGAAAATAAATTTGTTTATAATTGAAGTCAACGTTGAACACACGTTAATATCAACAAATTCGAAGACGTTCTATTATTGCTATGAATGTTTTTGTTGATTCGATCTTTTTATGGCCATATTAGCGTGAATGTAATTACGTAGTTAATAATTAACGATGCAAATTGAACGGATGGTCTCTTTCCACCGGGTCTTTCGTTGCGTGATGTCGTGCGAACATGTTTCCATTAGGACGACCAACGCTGTTTCGCATGTTATTTTGGCATGTTACATAATAGACGCCATTAAATTGCAGTTGATTTATAACGCCGCGTTTGTGAAATAATTCCGCAAGTTGTGATCGTCACGAAATTCATTCTTTTATGTTTGTAATCACGAAAGTTTCACTCGCAGAGATAGAATTCTATATGTTAATCTAATCTTTTTAGAATTATCTACACGCATTAAAATATATTTAAATATATTAAACTTACGAAAGATATCTAAAACTTTTTAATTTTTCAAATATATGATATTTTTTAAATTTTTGTGCTATGATCTAAACTGCTAATACTTTGATTTTAAGTATTTGATTGATAAATATCGCGATAAAGTTTTATACACAAGAATATAAGTATTAATATTATTTTACTTTTGCATATACGAAATAATTAAAATAATTAACAAAATAATTAAAATCATTAAATAAAATTATTTTTCTTTTACATTGTTCGTGTTTACATTTTTAAAGCTTTATTTTAAATGCGAGGATTTAGGATTTAAATGCTAATCCAGTGTCATTCGTCATTTTCTCACCGTGACAGAAAAAACGAATAGCCTAAGGTGTTGACAACCTACGCCTCGAGTTAACTTACGATGATCAATATCATGTGGTATTTCTCCGTATTATCTCGTGGTAGTCTTATTTCAAAGAGTTTAAAATCTTTTATTGCTACGGTTTTTTTACTTATGATATATTGTATAAAAGTATATATACCGACAATTCGCTTGTTAGCTTCAAATTGTATCCCAGAATTATCTTTTTTGTAATTTATTCGAGTTTTTAAGCAATTTTCGGATCACAAGAGTATACTCTTTCATGTCAGGATTTAATCTAACTGCATGTTGTGACGCGAAATTGATCGATCCGGTGAAAGTGACGTTTCTTAGTTAGTTATTTGATACAAATTTAGAAAGCCGCGTGCCATCCGCATCTCGATGTACAAATTACAATTCCCCACAGTTTGTATGGCAATTTCACACATTCGAATGGACAACCTTGATGACACGTTATTTTTCTTGATTTTTAATATTGTGTTTTAATAATTAGCTGAATATTAGAATTATAAATTATATTGTATATGTATTATATATATCGATTTTTATACGCGTCATATATAACATTAATTTTATAACCAAGAATAATTTCATTTTTTTAATTAATTTTATAAGTTATAAAATCCAGCGTATAAAAATCTCGTAGTCGCCCCGCGACGCTATTTGACGTTAACGCTGCGACTACATCGTTAAAAATAAATCATACGTTTTTATCGAACAACGACGTAATCGACGTGATTTGCTCTACATGCGGAACACAGGTGGAGGAAACACGCGTCGCTTCCTGTTCTTTATAACTCGATACCAGAAATCCTAACAATCGTAATGCGCGAACGGGTAGACGGGAGAGGATGACCGCCGGTAGAAATCGATGATTCGTTTTTAGCTGCTTATTTGTACGCTTTAATAGTCACGGAGGAAGTCGGCTGTCGCGCTTTCACGATTATTATACATACTTTCCTCAGACCCGATAATCCTTTCAAAGCTCTTTTCGATATATACCTTTATCTGATATCATTTAAATAGATGGCGAGAGAGAAGAGAGAGAGAGAGAGAGAGGTCGATGCACGAGGATGACCGCAAGGAAGGGATGTTCGCAAAATATTAAAAAGGCAATTAATTAAAACGAGCGGAGCATCAGTAGATAGAGAGTGACTTGTCGGTTCCTGGCCGGCAAAAGCGCTAATAGACTTAATGCACTTAGCAATTATTTCTTCTTACCGCCTCCTCTTAGCGACGCAGCCGCGTACATCCGCACGATTATATAGCTATATATTGTATAAACAGTCCTTGCGTGTAAATACAATATAAAAAAATTCAATCTTTTTACGCGAATTTGTGAAATTAGAATGAAATAAAGAACGCTTACTCGTGAACACATAATTTCATACATATACTCGTGTAATTGACGAATTAACGGTAAGTTTTTACGGTATTTATTAGCGAGCCGGAGAAAGATTCACGAGCGCGAGAACACATCGAAAATATCGCGGAATGTCTAAATATAGTTCGCCCGAGCGCGTATAGATTAATCGACGTCGACCGACATATTAAATTATACCGTCGCCGTAATTATACTCGCTCGCATCTGCATTTGCCATTTTCTCCCGGTTTAGAAAACCGGTTCATCGTCACCGAAGTATGTATATTCGCCGCGAAGTATAGGCCATGCGGTAAGCGCGAGTTCGCGTTCCTCTACTTTCCTGCTGTACCGATTCGGACTCCGACGACGACAAGCGACATGCACCGCGAAAGATGATGAAAAAGTTAACGTGCACGCATCGCGACACTAACTTTCTCTGCATCACAGTGATGCTCCGTCAAGTTGATTTCCATCCGGTACACCTGCACGTTATTGTATTAATAATTCGCGGATATCAACGCGCGAATCCAACGAATCTCGTTAAAGAAAGACTTGTTAAGAATGTACTCTTATTATCTCCCACAATATATATATATTATGACGTAAATATGTATGCGTGACATTTCTACATCGTAACCGTCTCCATTGTAATGAGATAATATCATTGTCGATGTTGCGACCTTCTCAATTGACTCCTGTCAGTCTGACTTTGCTCGCCTATTCTATAAAGGTTTTCGGCAGCTTCAATAGAACGATATGCGTGATACAACAAATCAAAAGTGAGTTGAATAACGGAATAAATTTTGATTTGCATAAAAAATAACTTAGATAAATTAAGATTCTTCTTTTGCTGTTGTCACAGATTAGAGTCACAGAGAGATTCGTGAGTAATTTATAACTCTTAGGCATAAATTATTCTTAGATTCTTATACTTTACAATACGGAAACTGAATGAAAATAATGTCCATTCTAGTAACGCGTGATTTATACAGAAAATTTCACTCTTTCTTACAATATATGTCTCTAACGTATCATTACTCCGCGAGTTTCTTCCGTAGATCACGCAAGTCTAATCATCACATTGATAAATTGTGGATCTTAGCGGAATGAAAGAGTGAAATCGCCTTTACGCTGCACGTTCATCTTCATTAAGAAACCATACGATTATTCGTTTATCTCCGTAAACCGACGGTTTTTGAAGGTCAACTTCAGTCATGCACAATTATCGGCAATTAGGATATTTCGCACGAAGTCGCACATTAAAATCATTTTTGAGGTAACGCGTGTGTACAAACAATCAGTCAAGAGATAAGCTTGAGAATTCTTACCAAAGTGAATATTATACGCGATGTGCCATTGCGATGTTGCTTCGAACGAGCTTTCCCCTCGTTTTTGTGAAAATGACCCCCTTCTCACAGGTGACTATTTACTCTCCTGCAAGGAAAGCCCCTCAATGAGGTAAAAAGAAACGTTCACACGCAGTCTGTCTCTCTTTTCACAGCATTTTCTCTCTTTTTCTGACCTCTATCTCTAACATGGGAACTCGGCTTCATATACATATAGCAACGTTGATGATTTCTCTGAATAGAATAGCACTTGTGACACACACACACACACACAGTCACTTCAATATTTTAATTTAATTCTAATAATTTTTTCAATCTCGTTATAGTATATATTTATATAATTAATATTGATACTGGATAGCTACATAATGAAAAAAAAAATAAAATATTAGTTTTCACTTTTAACTCTCTCCTTGTTCGCATATCCATAACATTAATTGTAAGATAATTTTTTCTGCATCTATTAAACACAGGAAACAGGAAACCCTTCAATATTTAGATCGACTGATACGTATGCATGGATCTAGACATCATTAAATCTGTTCGGATCTTATTGCGCATATTTACATGTGTAAAAAACGGAGTTAAACCAAGACAACATTCAGAGGTTACACATTGTGCGACGACTACATCCTATTCAAATATATGGCTTCTCAACCTACTCTATCATGTGAAGCTTCTTTGTTTGGCTACGAAATAATATCTAAGAAAACCTAG